ACCTTAAGGCCGAAGACACCTACACACACAGTTCGACTGTCGTAAGCGACGAAGTCCGATATGTGCCCCACGGAGTGAGGGCAGCACCAATGAAGTGCGCTGACTTAAGAGGCATCGAGCGCGTGCTCTCTCCCCCCCCCCTCACCCACCGGGTTCCGATGGCAAGTCGACTGGAGGTGGGCTCGGGCGCAGTGGCTGACAGACCTTAACAGCCTGTCAGCGTGTGTTACACACCACATGGTCCCCACAACATTTACCGGACTTTCGCGTGGGCGGCTCAGATCTCACATGTGTGAGTACCATAGAGGTCGTACTAAGAAAGTGTTATTGCAGTCTGACTCTCAGTTTTGAGGAGGGACGAGTTATTCTCTCTCTCTCTCTCTCTCTCTCTCTCTCTCTCTCTCTCTCTCGCTCAGTAAGCAGACTTCGGAGCCAAGACTTTTAATGCGTTAGATTTATTCTAGTGAGGGATGCGCTGGTGTGCCATGAGGACGCAGCCCTCATAGTCAACCTAACCACCGTTTGCCTCTCCCAGCCCGCTGTCCGAGTCGGTCAATCACCTACCGCTGGGAGTAGGCGAAAATGGCTGTCGTGGCTTGAAGCCTTCGCCTGGGTGCGCGGCCACTCTCCCTCGTGTGGGTGTCTGGCCCTTGTTACGGGATGCGCGGACTCAGCGCAGCCAGATTAACGCGTGCCGTGAGTCAGCAGACCTCCCGTTGTGGCCCAACGCATCTTGGGGGGCCGTCGACTGCCGCAGGCGAGGGGGTCCAGCAATACTCTTCGAGATGGGCGCAGTCGGGATTTGCGCATGAGCTTGCTCACAATGAGACGGACTTGCGCTGCGCTCACCTCACACCCCAGGACGATTGGGAGGCGGTTATGTGCGCGATATCTGGCGAGGTCAGTCCACGTCTGCCACACACGGCCTGCTCCCTACTCCTCACCTATCAGACTTCACCCCCAGGATGGTACTTATCTCACGCAAACAGGCATACCAAAACTACATGCACCCCTTGCCTCTGTAAAATGCTGAGTACTTGGGATATTTTCAGCCGAACTCCCGGCTTGAAATGTGGCCGACGGGTCAAAAATGTTAATTCAGAAAGGCGCATTGCGGTTTTAAAGCCTACTATTATCTATTTTTATTCTGAGGCTGACTGAGAAGGCATTTTTTCTCTTATTGCAGATATGACAAAGTTGGTACATTCTATTGCCTTCTAATAAAAAAATACAACTTCTCTGCCCTCAAATTATTTTCTATTAAACTCCGATGGTGAGTAAATCTTTTACCGTTCACTATTTTAGAGGCGGTAAGTTCATACCATCCAACGAACCAGCTCGAGTGTTCACTGCCATTTACCAACATTCCCGATATGTTCACGTCGTGGGGCACCTCGTGAGATCGCCTGATAATCCACGTAGGTGTTTGCTCCGCAACTTCGTGGCTCCACAAAACTGTGCTCTGAGCAATGTCCACAACCCTTTAACCGCTTTGAAAGGCGGAAAAAACGAAATGGGGGTGGCCGGTTGTGTGTGCGAAGTTTGGCTCAGTCAGCAAAGGCGAAACAGTCTCGTGGTGGGACGTGTCGACAGAGACTTTGAGTATAGTTGGCCCTAACTCCTTGAATTGCACTCCCTGTGCTCCATATTGTGGCTGAATGCATCAAAACTGCTCCATTGCTCAGCTCGAATGGAACCACACTACTAACTGAGCAGTTGTATATCCTAGGGTACTGGACCAGACACCTTATGTGCGTTCCCAATCCCCCATCTACAATTCAAAAAAACACCATCAACAGACTTCCTCAACTGGAGACCAATTCTGACCCCAGCTGTCCGACTTTCTTGCATGAGACTGGCAGGACTGTGTAGTAAACGTCCACTGGAACAGTTCCAGGCACGAACTCAGTTCCAGTCGAAATCTGCAAATATGGTGGCTCTTAACTCCTGGACAAGCTTACTTCCCCCTTCCAGGTGACATGACTAAAAGGACAAATCCTTCAAGACTTCGTGGACGCGGTGATTTTTTCATTAGATACCGGAAAACTTACAAAAATTCTCAAGGAATCTCCTGTTCAGTATTGCTGGCAACATACTTGCTCGGGTACTAATCAGTTATTTGAATTCTCACCCGTAGTAAGAAATCCTTCCCGAGTGTCAGTGTGGATTCGGGAGAACCCGCGGAACCATCGATAGTAGTTGCCTAATCTGGAAACTCTAGGAAAATGCCGGGAAATGAAGAGCAGCCTCCACACAACCACTGTGGGTCCCACCAAAGCCGTCGATCTCGTGAATTAATAATGTCTCTGGAAAGTAATGAGGTAGTGTGAATGTCCCGAGCGGTCAAAAGACTGCTTTATTATGAGAAGCCCGACCTGATCGGGGTCTTAGCGATAACAAATGGGTGAAGCCGCGTAATACACAATGGCGACGTAGACAGAGTTGTTTGGATGGGCAGCGATATCCAGAGTTGGATGGGTGTACTCATGTGTGGGTGAAGATGACAGGTGTCCCTTCCCTCGAAACTGCCGACATCCGGCGCTCACAGCAGCACTCTCCTCTATCTCTCTATCTCCTCTCTACTTCAGCACCCTGAACGACTCTACCCTGCACTGCAGTCCCCACCGGTTGTTGAGCAGACATGGCAGTGTCACTCAGACGGGTCATTTTCCTGCTGTGACCGCATCTTCTTTCTCGTATCGTCTCCGGCTTGATTAAATCGCCAGTCCCTTTCTGCTGATAATGCATCTTTTGCGTTCATCTAAACCCTTTTTCAACCCTGTTCGCCCGAATGTTCGTGATGGCATGTCTCACAACTCTGTTCAGTCCCGTCTTCGTTGGACTCTATACCGAGAGCTCTACGTTAACCTGTCGCCCTCCAAGGAGGAAGGGTGTACCCGCCACGTAGGTAAGAGACGAGAGAACGAAGCCACCATGATAGGGGTAGCCTTTAGTCAAATTTACGCAGCGGCACCTACTCCCGTCTACCGACCCTAACACTAACCCTAATCCAAGTCCAAACCCCAACTCTAGCACACAAGGTTACGTGTATTACTGGGGGCTCCTATTCCCGTGTTTTCCTCTGCCCTGGTGGATGCTTACCAGGGGAGGATAGGCCTCGCATCCGTAAAATTTATTCAGCATAAGATACGGAACCCCCTCTCTACCGATGATCGTGAATTGAGTATCACAACTGAAACAGACATGTGGCGAAATCCGGATCGTTTGAGATGCGGGTGCGTCAATATCGAACTAACTATGAACACCCAGAAGACATCCGTCATTCACCAACGGATGCCAAGTGTCCAGCAGGCAGAACCGACCGCAGCTGACAGTCGTACTTGTCTCGTAGGGGTAAATCACTTTCCTTGCCTGGGCATCACCATTTAACGGATAGCCAAACTCCGTGACGAGGTTGCAGCCTGGGTCCCCAAAGTTAGGCAGGTCTTTGACAGTGTGAAAACGCCGCGGCATCCTCCTCGGAAAAAAACTCAGGATGTACAAAACCACCGCCCCGACAACGAGGAGGAAGCAGACGGCCCATCGGTCGGATCTTAGTTCGTAGCTGTACCTGCAGTTGACAAGCCCCAGCCTAACCCCTAACCCTAACTCCAAACTCCTGCACCCTAACCCCTAGCCCTAACCTCTAACCCCAACCCGAACCCCTAACCCTGACCCCAGCCCCTAAATCCTAACCCCTAACTCCTAACCCTAACCTCTAACCCTGACTACTAACCTTAACACCTAACAGGTACGGCTACGAAATAGGACCGTGGCCTTGCATTTAGTCTGCGCCGACACCGTTCAAGGGTAGGTAATCAAATAGTTGTCGACTGAGAGGCACTACCCACAAAGCACACACACAGACACAAACACTCTCCTCACATGCATGAGAGTGTCACACATCGCCTGAGAAGGGGCCGTGACAGCCTGGCTCTTAGTCCACAAGTCCACCACTCCACACGCAACTGGGTAGACTGCGTGGACTGAGTTGGGGCGTCAGTCGGCTGCCTTCCGAGCCACGGCGCTCGACGCACCGTCTTGGTCTCAGACTCAGATCACACATGCAGCAGGGGAGCCGCATGAAGAAGGAGCCGAGACACACACACTTCCCACTTGAGTGGGAGGTGATAGTTGGATGCTTGCGGGGGGTGGTGTTGATGTGTGCTGAGATGCTAGTGAGGGAGGATGTGATGGTGTTGAGCAGCCGGTGGTTGTCTACCGCAGGTTTTCGTGGACGCGCATATGGCCTAATAGACCCATGCGATGCGTGAAGGTGCGAGTGCAGTGTGGAGAGTGGAGGCGGATGCGGCGGGTGTAGGTCGGTGCGCCAGGCACTGCTTCGCCAGTCTCTGTGCGATGGATTCGCAAGTGACTGACCAGGCCGATGTGTGAGGTGAAAGTGCGATCACAATGAGGACAGGTCCTCATCACTGGTGTCGGCGGTGGTGGTGGTGTTGGTGTTCGTTGGCGTCAGGATTGTGTGCAATGTTGATGCGCATGGCAGACACCACATCAGCAGACGTTGGGGCGGTGGAGGAGGAGGAGGTCTTCCCACCTGGCCAGGTTGACCTGCAGGCGCTTAAGGGAGGTTTTCGGGATATGCTTATAGCTCCGGACTTGACCTCCTTGTCTGTGTGAACCCGTGGTGACATGGTTTGGGTACTCGTCGTCCATCCGTACGAGATGGCCCTCGTCAGCGTAGTTTTAGTTGTCTCAGCATGTCGTAGATGCCGAGGATCCCTGTCCGTGTCTGAGATTCGGTCCTGCCACCTCAGCTTCCGTATTCGAAGAAGACAACTTAGGTGGAAGTGGTTGAGTCTACGTGCCTGCTTCATGTACACCGTCCAAATCTCTGCTCCATACAGTAACGTCGGGAGGATGACAGCCTCGTACATCTTAGGTTTCGGGCTGAGTTGAAGACCTCGACTATTCCAAACAGTGTTTTGAAGACGACCGAGGGCTTGACTGGCTTTTGAAAGCCGGCGGGTCACTTCATCGTCGATTGTGCTGCTGTGAGAGAGGGACCACCACCACTTTCAGTTCGGTTCCGTTCACGCCGATTTGCGGCGCATTGTGAGGGGTGGCTATGTTGGGTGGCGGTTGGTTCATGACCACCGTCTTCTCTGCCGTCAGATGATCCATGAGTCGGGGGCCACCGTGCTTGTAGATCTCAGCAGGGATCGTGTCCGATCCGGGCGCTTTCCCGCTGGAGAGCTGCTGCACGGCCCTGATGGTTTCGTGGAGAGAGGACAGTAGGTCGAGGTCGACGTTGGTTTCAACTTGAGTCAGACGGGCGATGGCGCTGTCGGAGATGATAGAGGAACTGCTGAGGACGCCTCTGAAGTGTCCGGCCAATCGTTGTAAAATTGGTGTCTTCTCAGTGAGTAGGGTAATTCCGTCGGCGCTGAGAAGAGGTGCAGTTTCTTTATTTAGCGGACCGTATACGGCTCTGATCGTGGAGAACAAGTTCTTCCAATCGTTACGGTCCGCGTACCCTTGGATCTCCTCATCCTTGAGAGCCGTCCAGGCGTCCTTCATTTTGCGCAGCCGCTGTTGAACAACACGGCGACTATGGTGGAAAGCAGCTTTGTTGTCGTCGGTATGGCGGTCGACGTAGACTTTGTGAAGGCTGTCTTTCTCGGCGAGCATGTTGCTGATTGCGGCGTCGTTGTTATCAAATCAGTCATGGTGTTGGCGACGTGCGCGACCGAGGACCGCCAGGACCGTCGACTGGACTGCGTCTCGCAGTTGACATAATCAGTTCTCCATGGAGACGTCCTCGTCGGCTTCAGCGGTGGCAGCGACTGGAAAGTTGCCTAGCCGTTGAGTTAGGTCTTTTGCTGAAATGAAGATGATGAGCGGGCAAAGACAACAAAGCAACATTCAGCTTACCTGGGGGTCGCTTACCTTGTGGTCTCCTGTGAGGCTCTAGGCGAATACGCATCTTCGAGATGACGAGGCGATGGTCGGTCCACCCGTCAGCACCCGCGATCGCCTTCGTCACCAGCACGTCCCGCTGGTCTCGCCTCCGGACGAGGACATGGTCCAGCAAGTGCCACTGACGCGATCGAGGATGCTTCCAGGTGGCCTTCTCTCGCTCCGGCAGACAGAAGAAGGTATTCGTCAGGGTGAGGCGGTGTTCAGTGCAGGTGCGGAGGAGAAGCGGGCCATTGTTGTTGGAGCCGCGGAGACCGTGGGGACCCAGCACTCCTCTCCAGGCAGTATGGTCTGTGCCGACGCGGGCGTTGAAGTCACCAAGGACAATCAACTTGTCCGCCTTCGGCACAGTCGCCAAGAGGGCGTGCAGGTCCTCATAGAATTTGTCTCTTGCGGCGGCGTCGGGGCTGCTCATCGGCGGAGCGTAGGCGCTGATGATGGTGGCGAATTTGCCCACACCCCTGAGAGGTGGCCGGAGGCTCATCAGGCGGTCGTTGATTCCCTGCGGCAGACTGGGCAGTCGTCCCACGATGTCGTTCCGGATGGCGAAGGCGACACTCGCTCTGCCTTGGGTCGACCACTCCAGAAGAAGGTGTAACCGGCACCCACCTCCTCCAGCTGGCCTTGTTCGGAGAATCGGGTCTCGCTGAGTGCGGCGATGTCCACCTTGTAGCGCGCCAGTTCTCGTGCTACTAGCGCCGTCCTCCGTTCCGGTCGGTTGCTCCTCGGATTGTCTAAAAGGGAACGAACATTCCAGGCCGCCAGGATGAACGGACTCACCCTACCAGCCTGTGGGGTGAGGCGGCGGAAGCAGGAGAGGAAAGAGGGAATGTGTTGCTTCTGGTTTGATCGTTTCGACCATTAGTTCTTCGTCCGAGGCCACGGTCAGCCTGCAGACGGTGTGGGTTTCCAGCATTTGTTTAGGACACCTTTTATAACTCCCTCCCCTCGCCGGAGTGAGCAGTGTTCTCTCTAAATATGGCTGCTCAGTCATCCCAGACGGCTGCCGAACTCCACTATGAGACACAACTTTTGTTTAGTGGGAGAACGACCCGAGTTGGCCTGGGACTGCCTACGACATCGCCGTAGGACTTTTGAGTGGGGGGAGAGGGGGATGGAGGAAGGGTAGAGAGACGGGAATCAGAGCTTTCCCGTCTCTCTCCGAGAAAACTGATTGCTGAAATATAAACGGTGAGAAGACAAATTCATCAAAACGGTATTTAATTTACAATAAGGGCAAACACAAGCACAAACAAGCAGAGGAAAGGCAGGCAAGCAAGAACAAGCAGAAGCAAAGGCGGACAGAGGAAATTCAACGGAATGATATTTAGCTTACAACGAAGATAAACACAAACAAACAGACAGAAAGTAAGAAAGCAAGCAAGAACAGGCAACGCAAGACGGCAGTACAACGTTTGCCCACCTGGGGGCTCACTTATCTTGCGGCCTCCGACGGCGTTCCAGACGGGGCCTCATTATGCAGATGCCAATGCCGGCCATCAGAGTCAAGATTACCGTGTGCGGAGATGCACACACGGATACCCGCACCTGATTTAGTCCACCGGTCGAGGCGGTTACCGGAGTGTGGCCGTTAGGCAGAGCCTAACTTCGGGGAGCCACAGTTGAGATTTGGGAGCCAGTAAATGGACGCTAGGCGTAGTCGGCACCTGCAAGCAAGTGAGCGACCTACTACGACCGTCGCGTGGACCCGCACAGCTGGACAGCCCTTTCACCCCAGCGAACACACGCATACACATCGGACGAACTCATCGCACATGTATCAGCACTACAAGGAAGTCCTCTAATGTCGGCGCAATAGGTTGTAGACTACTTTGTGTGCGCGCGTGGGGCACAATCCGCGGAGGCTTTGCGCCACGTCAACCTCTGCGACTAGCCTATGCTCCAGCCAGACTCGGTCAGACCACCCGACTCATGCGAGAGGTATGAAGGGAATGGGGGGGGGCAATACTTGATGCCCTCCTTCACAACAAATCAGCGCACTCCGCGCTAACGTGACGCTTTTGAATCAGTCCTCCTTCTTAGGATTGAGAACCAAGCTGCTGGAGACCCGTTCTAATGTGACCTTTATGGCAATCTGACTTAGGTGAGGTCCGGAACCCCACCAAATGTGCCATGGTGCATACTGAGTAGGAACCAGGCCGTGTTCGACATGTGTAGACTGACTCCTTGACCTCGTGAACCACCACCGCGCCGACACCAGACTCCGGTCGTTCTTACCATCAGGTGAGATGATGCGTTAGTGCAAGTCTACGAAATGTGGTTTCATCCGTGACTCTTTTCAGGGGATCGGAATGATTACAACAAAAAACATGGATGCGTTTGAAGCGCCTTTTAGTAAACGTTACACTGGTTCTCGAAAAAAACTGGCGTTTTTTTTATTTAACACAGTTAGTGACCTAACTCATGAAATGTGTCGAAATTTACGAATGATTGCCAATCACTCGCAAGCTGACGCCATTTCATGAGTCCAGTGTCTACGTTAACTAAGTACAAGTTTAAAAGAATTAAAAACATAAAAGAAATATTAAAGGCAGTGTTGCGTTGTTTCGAAATGCCGATTTATTTTGAAAAGCGCAATATCCCGAAAATGTCAGAAATGGCCCTAATTTAGTGAACTTCCCTGTTAGGTGTATAGAATGTATTCGCATACCAAAAACGTGGTAAATATGAAAGTAGAAATAAAATAACGTCTAATAATAGTGTTTCAGGGAAATTTACATCTAACTATCGTTTAATAATTAGTATGGTTTCATATATGACGGTTTGTCAACTGCCTACATTCTGAGTGTACATTTCAAAACAGTTCTCCAGCGATTCCTGGTATTCTTGACTCGGTTGATTTAAATGAGATGGGATTCAACAAGAGAAACTGGATTTTGCTTGATTTCACCGATGAGGACATCGTAGGAACAAAAGTTTTCATAGGGTGACATGCTGTCAGGCCGATCGGCGCCTAATAAATTTAAATAGAACTGACAGGCGTGGTCGTAAACATACCATTTTGTGTTTATAGAGCGAAATTTTCTTCCGTTAAATTAATTTACACTTTCCTTCGATCTGGATTACGTTGCGTTTCAGATCGGCCTCGAAATGTTGCTGAATACTTTATGATTTTCAGTGTTTTCTCCCGATCGTCCATAAAGACAGATTCTGAATTACCTGTCTGTTGAGAACTTTAAAATAAGATTATTCCTGAAGGCATTTACCCGATTATTGAGTATTCGGGTGCTATCTTTCACGAAGATGGTCGTTTGGGTCACATGTGAAGACTCATTCAAAAATCAAACTTTATTTTCGAGAAAAATGGCTGTCCACAACGAAAGTCAGCAACGAATATCCCTTCGATCAATAAGAAAACTTTCCTTAATAAATTTTCCCTTCAATAAGTGATTTATTACTGCACTCTGTTGACGGATCTCTATGTACTTTGCATGCCGTTCTACATACATTGAGGCCATTTCCACTGTTTTTGCTCGCTTTTAGACTCCGTTATTCGATTGTGAATGCACGGCAGAGCGTCCATATAAATACTGATATTGTGCTGAAACTATTAATGTTTTGTCGTTCTGTTTCTGAATAAAGTATACACGGAAACTAAACTACAAGACAAGTAGTGTTTCATATGTTCAGGACCGGAAATTACCATTCGGTGGTGGTCATTTGTGTGACATCAGGTAGCATTTTCCAAACGAAAAAACAGTTTCAGCCCATTTAAACGAAAGAATCCCTATCTGCGTTATTACTGCACTGTAGGGCACCAAATCGCACAGATCTGATAATTTGACTTTTATGTATTTATGAAACCTCTGGTTTTCTTAAAATAACCTTCGTGTTTGCAAGTTGATTACCACGGTTAGCATCGGACATAAAATAAATTTTCACGTCTAGTTAAATCTGTTTATTAAAACTCTCGCGGGCAAATTACTATCCTTTCATTGAAAAAGTCGCTCAGATGCGTAACCGGAGTCTAGGACATGTATTAGCATAGAAAATTGTCCGATTATATTCCAACGTCCATTTTCGCTAAAATTTACTGATATTTTGCTTTATATAATTACGTAAACACCAGTTCTGCACAAGAAAAGAACATTTTATTGAAGGAAGTGGATGAGCGAACATTAAAAACGTCCAGGAATTATCGTATCAGTTTCCGTCATCACATTTTATGAGATAGGTCACGTACTGTGCGTCTCCTTCCGCACCTTTCATGCCGTTTTTAGTCCTTCGTCAAGTCTTTGATGCAGTTTCAAGGCCCCAACTTTCCGCCAGGTCACTCCGGGTCTAGAGAAACTGCCTGACTTGGTTTTTTCCAGCCTAAGGAAAGGAAGATCCAAGCGCACAAGCCACAGATTGCTGAGAGCCGGATTCCCATTCCTATACTTTATGACTGACGTTTGAGTGCACTAGGCTGAAGACCTAGGGAAATAAATTTTTACGAGGACAGTCTTTTAATGTAACTCTCATAATTGATGCGCGCTTAACCCAACGGAACGTATTTTTAGGCAGACTCGAGCGCGAGCTTGTGCCGCAATGGTATTCCCCCCTCCGCATTGACATGTGCTGGTAGGCGT